GGGGAGGAGGGGTGTGATTGATTATGTGAAGTTGCTCATCCGGTCAATGTTAATTTATTACCGAAAGGGATTAGGATTAATTTTTTGTAAAAGAAATAGGCTTTGAATATTTTTTGATGAAAATAAGGGATCAGGGAAGGGGAAGGGGAAGGAGGGTGGGGGAAAGGGTGACGTTAAACACCATTGTAATGTCATTCCGTTTCGCCAGTATCATTCTTTTTGTTGCAGTATTTTTTTGCGTTAGCATCTTTACCGGGCGTTCCGGCTTTACTGTTACTTCTTTGCAAGTACAGGACTTAGGGTTGTTTCTACAAAATTTTGCTGGTTGCAAAAGAATTTGGAAGTGACGACACACTGTCACTTGATTGCGTTGCTGATTCTGGATCCCTTAATCTCTTATTTTAGGCGTGAACGACAAATGTAGAAAAAACCCAGGCAAAAATTTTTTTGAATTTTAGGTTTCAAATGGCCGTTCGTTCCGTGCTTATCGCTCACTGGGTATGCTGATGCTTCGGCGCGGCCACTACGATGTTTCGTTCGAGCACCTGAAACGCAGTCTTGAGCTCCAACCAATTAATGTAAGTTTTGACTTTGCAACTTTTCTTCCCCAACTTTTAAAGGAATCGTTGTGTTCAATTTCGTGAGCGATAAAACTTGCGTGATAGGGTAGGGGGGGAGGGGAGGGAGGGGGGGAAAGAGGGGGAGTCGAAAATAGAATAGAGGGGCCGTAGAAGGCCGAACCAAAATTGGACGGTCCAAGAAGGGCCCAAGAAGGAGGTGAAGTTTGCAAGTGGTTGTTTACGATCAGGTATGGTTTGGTAGGCCAAACCATACCTACCGAAATAATGATCTGTACAACCAGAGGAAATTCGGAACGGCTGAATTTCTTAAGTTTTAAGAGTGGGAGGATGAAATTTGTTAGAAAATTGTGACAGGGGCAATAGTTGGGTTGTTAAGTTTAATGGAGACCTAGAACCTTTTGCACATTATAAAAAGCCTTCGTGACAGCTTGGGACTTGCACCGATTTCTAAATGGTTGAAAATGAAAGATACACATAGAATGATTTTCGCGTAGTAGCAATTGCTTACCTCCCTGGATGGTTTCGTATCAGACGGTTCAAGTTTTGACAAAATTTTGTAGAGCAGCGGAAAAAATGTTTGCGGAAGCGATGTCGGAAGCAATGCCTGACGTTTTTGTAGCAGCTTTGAGGACTT